TGTAGTGCTGTTTGTCCAGTTGTCCAGTTCATTTTTAAGTTCAGTTTAAAATTGGCCACAACTAGGTGGTGATCTGAAGCTATATCAGCACCTCTCCTGTTTCTCACATCTTCCATTTTCCTTCGGAATTTTTTATTGATCCAAATATGATCTATCTGGTTCTCTGTAGTGTGGTCCGGTGAGATCCATGTAGCCTTGTGTATACGTTTGTGAGGAAATATTATGCCTCATATGACTAATTTGTTGAATGCACACAGATTTGCAAATCTTTCCCCATTTTCGTCTCTTTCTCCCAGTCCATGTCGTCCCATAATATCTTCATATCCAGTGTTGACTATTCCGACTTTGGCATTTAGATCTCCCATTAGAATAGTTAGGTCCTTTCTTGGGCATTTCTCAATGATTGATTGCAGCCTATTGTAGAACTGGTCTTTAATGTCGTCATTGCTATCGTTAGTGGGTGCATAACATTGGATAATATTCGTTGTGATCCCCTCCTTCTTTGTTTTGAATGATGCTTTGATGATTCTGGATCCGTGAGATTCCCATCCTACAAATGCATTTCGTGCTACTTTGGACAGCACTAGGACAACTCCCTGACTGTGTGGAGCATTTTCCTCTTCGTGACCGGAGTATAGCAGCATCTCTCCCGTATTTAGCCTTTGTTGTCTAGCTTTGGTCCAATGGGTTTCACTGACTCCCAGTACTGCCAAGTTGTATCTCCTCATTTCCGTTGCTATTTGACTAGTCTTCCCGGTCTTCCACGTTGTTCGGACGTTCCATGTACCTATAAAAATTGTTGCTCTGGTTGTTAGAAGGAGCATCGGCCTTTTGGCTTCTGAAGGAACTATTAAATGAAATACTGAATACAGTTGATCACATGATTCTTTGCTCAGACATTCAATAACAGTACTCAGTCAACCATGAAACCTTGTGTAAAATTACCTAACGTGAACTTACAACGGATACCTGAATTAAGCAAAGATGGATAGTGGTTAGCAGTTGAATACAAAACGCACTTGTTGTCCTTTTTGGGACTAGTCAGCTTGATGTACCTGCATCCCAGAGTTGATGTTCACTCGAGGACTCGAACCCATTACCTTTCGCTTCAAATACCATCGCATTATCCACTTAGCTACTGAATTCTGGTACGGTACTGAACGGTAGTGGTTTCGAGTCTCGGCGTATACATCAACTCTGAGATGCAGGTAAATCCAGCTGACGAGTCCCAAATAGGACGAAATGCGCGCCAAACTGGATTTCACTGCTAGCCACTTTCCATCTCTGCTTGTAATGCCTGTAAATTAGGACAATATCGAGGCGACACGCACAGTGTGTATATATGCCAACATGAGATTGATCAATTACAGTCCTAAATAACAGTGGGAAGGTACAAGCAAAACAACACCAAGTGGATACCTGAGTTGATAATATATCACTCTTCAGAAAATTAACTTTCATTAGGATTTATTGAAAATGATAACATCGACATAAGACAAGCGTTGGTTCTGTTCAATATTATTTTCTAATACATCGCTTATTTTGATGTCAGTATTCGCTTTAGATTCACTCAGTACTCACTACTTGTTTATACACTATTTATTCATGGTTTGTCAATCAATATTTGTGCTATTTGTTGTTGTCTTTTATTGAAACAATCTAGAGTTCTTGAAGATAATTTGATCAACATGCAGTAAAATTATTGAGATATGCGAAATTGCCTGTTTCTAAAGTGATCTTCAAATTTCTTAATGTTAACGAATAATTGTGTTTGTAATTGATTTGTATTTTATTAATAAACTTAATTCATTAATTTATTTTGTCACATTTCTTACCTATAAAAAGTAAACATACTGGACTTTAATTCAATTGGTATTGTTTTACTTGAATCTTTACATTGATGTTTAGGACTGCAACTGATCAGTCTCTTATTGGCATATATACACACTGTGCGTATTGTCTCGATATTGTCTTAATTTACAAGCATTATAAGCAAAGATGGAAAGTGGCTAGCAGTGAAAACCAATTTGACGCGCATTTCCTCCTATTTGGGACACGTCAACAGGATGTACCCGCATCTCAGAGTTGATGTTCACTCTGGGACTCGGACCCGGTACCGTTCGCTTCATACGCCATCGCGTTATCCACTTTGCTACTGAGTCCTATAGAATATTGATAGGTATCGTGAGATCTAATTCATCAACCATGTCGAAGCAGTCAAAATGATAACTGTTGTGTGACGTTATACAATTTCTATAAAGGTAATAAGTTTGGTTCAAATGAGGAGAACAAATATCCATTTTTAATTTAACTTGGTAATATTAAAATATTGTGGTGTGTGTTACCGATGTCGACGGATATATGTAGTATTTATCATCAATCAATCGTGAAATGCCTGGTGGCAGAAGGCTAAGAAGATCGAAGAAAAGACAATGAGAACAGAGAATGATTGGTGTGTAAATGAAGGAACAGTAAAATCTGGGACGATTGATTGATATTTTGCGAATGAAGATACTCTGTAAGGTTGTATTACAGTACATTTGGTTGTCCCCGCTTGTGTTCTCGTTCACTACAGTATTATCAAAAAACTTTTCAAACCAATTACACGATTAGTTCAGTCAGTTACTATAGAGACTAGACTTCTGTCGTAATCAACATCGCATTCAAATAAATAGTAATTTCTAAAAGTTATGAATGAATAACTCTTATGAAACGACAATGGTACAGAACAGCAACATTTGTATTAATTAACAGTAATAACAATTGACTCATGACTACTTTTTTGTGACTACAATTATAGTGAACAAACGACCAGAGCTGTATACATTAATGGTGAACATCCATTGCTCAGTACTGATTTATATTGAGAAGCGGATGATATTACTCAACCATGAGGCTTCAGTATAACAAAGCATATTATCTCATTGAAAATACACATGTTAACTACAAATATTTTAATATTAAATATCTAAGTATTGTAGTATGGCTAACGTAAACTTAGTGAACTTATCGTCCCCCTTCGTCTCGCTCCAATTTCATCGTATCATGCTGAAGAATTGTATATCACGTCTGGTCACGTAACTGTTTGTCATTGACACAAATATTCGTGATATAATTAAGGTGAACTATTTATATTTGGTAACAAACGGTCATACATCGTTTCATCCAGATTATTCTTATTTGGCCACATACATACTGTTGACCATACACACTATAACACTTTTATGATCTCAGTTGCATTGTGAAGTTATGTTTACTTAACTATAAATCTAGTATTGTAGATGAGCGTCACATTCCCGTTGTTGGGATAATTGCCGGTCTGGTAACCACATAGTTGTTCCAAGTTCTGTCGTTTTATTATTTAAACAGCGTGCATTATTAAGCATAACAATGAACGGACTATGATTACTTGAGTAGTCCACTACACTGTCTGTTCCCTTCTGACTACATCTATTTTGGGTGCCTAGTTCAAGTGGCAATCCTTCCGGGCTTGAAAAATGGCTAGAAGAGCATTTATATGTTTCCTGTGGTGAAGACAGGACTAGTTCATTGCACTTTTTATGAGTGTCACAAGTGCGGTCCCGGTTACCTGATATTTTTTTTACCACGTTTGATCATGTATTATCCGGTTTATTTGATTTGGGAGGCTGAATTGTCTACAGCTCTGTGGCACTGATAGTTAGTGCTGTTCTTGGCATAGGGGTTCTGACGTTCCGCACGGAACCAGACATAAAATATGGTGCCCATTCATCTGAGAGTAGCTAAACGGAATAGTGCCACAACTATTGACGATATACAAATGTGTTGTATTGAGAGCGTGAAGGTGTCTCTTTAGCGGCTTTAGTATGCTCTTCAAGTACATAGTCATTTCTAATTGGTACCAATTTTGAGTGATTCCGTCCTAGATTTCTAAGGTAAAGACTTAATGCTTTTACTCAATCAAGATTTGTTACCACAAGGTGTTATGTAATCAGGTTCGTACCGTTTATTATAATTTAGGCTATGTGTCGGTCCTTTTGTGGGGCTGATGCATATGTATTTGCATAGGATGCATGGCAACGAAAAGCTTCTTTCCGCTATTCGATTCAAAGAATGTCAGATCTGTAGGCCTTTTAAACGTTGTTTGTGTCAGTGGTCTTCTCACTAGAGTGGTGGTCACTATCTACTATGTTCTGGTTGCTTGCTATTTGCCATAATGGAGTGGCATCAGTACTTATTTTGTTGGTGCTAAGCAAGCTCAGATCCGATGATACGACATCCTTAGTATTTGAAGATGTTCAGTTCGGTAGCGCAAAAGTGACATGTGATATGTCAACAGGCCGACCGCGACCATTCATCTGGAAACTATTGTGACAGAAGGTATTTAAAAGTATGCACAACATATCACATCCGGGAATAAAAGCCATGGTGAAGCTAATCAGCCAATACTTCCTATAGACAAACATGAACCGCGGCGTGCATAATTGGAAACAGGCATACATGAAGTGTCAAAAAGTCAAAATACATCGTAATACTAGCTCCACAATGGGTTTATCCACTCATCCAGATACTGGATTCGAACATAAGCACATCGTACTCGTGGGGTCACTGCCGTTTTCGAATGAGCACAAATATATTTTTAAATGTATCGATAGACTTACACGATGGTCTGTAGCGGTACCGATAAAAGACATCTCAGTCGAGTCTGTATCGAAAGCCCGCTTCATATACGCTCGACATGCTTATAGCATTTGTGATCTGACTAAATTGCAAGTGGAACTATTACTGTTACTACCATTGAAGTTAAAAAACATCTTGCTGAACGAAAACATTTGTTCCAAAAGAGGTCAAAAGTTCTCATGAATTTCAATGAGTTATATTTCAGCAGTTACTTGATCAATAAAAAAATATCCATTTGAACAAATCTCAGTTAACTGTTACGATTGAAAGCTTTTCTGAACCTTGCATAATGTGACAAATTATAAATGTTTCATTTAAAATCATCATGCAAATTTTTTGCTTCAATGTGAGTTTTCTACATAAGATGCAAGTAAAAGGAAGAAACAGATTTGTTTAATTGATTGTTTCAAAAATGTATAAAATGAATAACAACAATTTAACTTGTATTTATCATGATATCTTGCATGTATGATATGGTAAATGATAATCTGTCATGATTCAGCACTCCAATAATTCAAATGAATTATATCAAAGAAATATGTATCACCTAAAGTTGCACTAGAATCTACGAACTGTAAGGATGTTCTTTAACGATATGAACAACTTCTACACAATCTCAGAGATCCAGTCAATTACATACTTTAGTCTGTGAAACCCATGGGTGACAATCTATTTAAAAGCATCGATCTATAATTCTACCAATGATTATGTTAGTATGACCATATATATATAGGCTTGCTAATAAGTTTTCCTCCAAAGTCATTTCATAGATTGACAGATTGAAAATTAGTTGTCGAACGATCGAACAATTCAGTAAACCTGATATCAATATATGCGAAGGGAGATTTGGGTTCACTTTATGTATATATAAAAGGCTACAATATCCTTGCTCCACAAACATTATTTTGAAGATTTCGGTTATGAAGTGGTAAAGCTTACTAGTTTTTGGATATTCTAAAAGAAATAATATGAAAAATGCCCTTTTAATATACAATACTTATAATAACTGGATTTTTGTTGATCATAACGTGTTTGTGTTACGAGTGTATTACACTCATTGTAACAAAATGAAAAACCAGTTAGTAAAATTGGTCATTTAGATATTTACAAATTACAGGAGGCTTATCAATAAATATACATATTAACTGTTGATTTGAGACTTTTTCCCCATTCCAGTTGTTTGTTGAGATACGTGATTAAATTAACTTCAGACGTATCATTTCAAAAAATATAAATCGAATGAAGAGAACTTACTCTTAAATGTGTTACCTTGGTAAGATTTTAACGAATTATGAATAGTCAATATGAAGTTTACCTAAGCAAAATGGTTTAATTTTTGCTAAAGACAGATAATCATCTGTATTTTGAGAAGAATGTATGTAATAAATGGTGAAAATTTTATTTTATTTTTCATCTCAATAAAAGCATCTAGTTATTATATACTTTATGGTTTAAATTGTTTTTTTCTGATTGACATTGTTTAACAAAGTTGTTTACTACGGGTTGGTGGTACTGACAAACCTTCCTCTTTTATATGAACTTGAGACTGACAGTAGCCCTAGAAGGGCTACAGAAGAAAAAAAGCTAGTAGTGAAAGATTGTGAACAAGAGCAAGCGGTTAGAGAATAATAAGCCAAGTTGATCACTGAGATTCATGATCAGTGAAATAGATGGGAAGTGCCCTTTGAACAACTATTGAATAGACCAGTTTTTAAACTCATCAGACGCCGAAGCAGCGCCTACTGACCTTGCTATAGATGTCAACCCTTCAACAATCGAAAAAATCAGCACGACCATCAGACAGGACATTACATATTCTATTTAGGATAATGTAAGAGGGAGAACAAGCGCCGATACACTGGAAAAAGGATAATTCTTCAATTTACCATGAAAGGATTTCAACAAGTGTGAGAGCTACAGAGGCGCCACACTGATATAAGTACCAAGAATATTGTTTAACGGAAATTTTCTGAATCGAATAAAAGATACAGTAGACTGACAGCTTCGGGATCAACAGACCGGATTTCGTAAGGATTGTGCACAGACCAAACTGCGACACTATGGACCATTGTTGAGCAATCAATTGAACGGCACTTTCTTGACTATGAGAAAGCATTTGATAGTAAAGATAGTATAATCCCATGAAACTTTCTTCAACACCATTGTGTGACCGAGAAAATCGTCAACATCATCCGGAATTCATACAACGGACTACAGTGCAAAGTGTGCATGGAGGACTGCTGGCAGACTCATTTCAAGTGAGGAGGGTAGTCAGACAATACTGCTTAATCTTCTCCTTCCTTTTTCTTCCGGTGATCGACTGGATTTCGGAGACCTCTACATATGAGGGAAAGCACGGAATACAATGAACATTTTGGATGTAACTAGATGGTTCGGACTTCGCAGATGAACCATCTCTTCTTCATCACACACACCGATAAATGTAATTGAAACCAGACAGTGTAGCTGCAACCTCTGCATCAATAGGTCTCAATCTACACAAGTAAGATGCAAGATCTTGAAATACAACACAAGGAGCATCGACCGAATCACACTCAATAGAGAAGCTCTGGAAGGAGTGAAAAGTTTTACTTGGTTAGCATAAATGAAAAACAAGGAGGATCTTACGCAGATGCGAATATTGGGAACAGGATAGCAAGAACCGCATTCTCAAAATTGGAGAACATATGGAACTTAAAACAACTGTCAACCAACATCGAAGTCAGAATAATAATAATTTTTATATTCTGAAAAATAATAATTACAGAATCTTCAATATGAACGTCAAAATAGTTCCATTGTACGGAGCTGCGTCTTGAAGGAACACCATGACCAACATAAAAAATGTACAAGTACTTATAAACAGTTGTCTACTTAAGACACTCCATGTTCATCGGCCGGATACCATCAGCAAAAATCTACTGTGGGAGAGAACAGACTGTAATGTGTGATCGACGAACGAATTCACCAATCATAATTTTGTATTTACCATGAACAATATTAAGTTCGTTGACTCATTATTCCTATTCTCCAGTTACTGTTTGGTATGTTATTTATGTCTTTGTTTTACCCCGTTTAATAGACTGTACTAATTCCTTATTTTGTATACCAACGGTGTTAACTTGCGTTCTAGAAAGAGCTAAAATTTATCAAGCCAAATAGCTAACTTGTTCTGACTTTAACTGAGCTAAGACTGTACTCGACAGTCTAGGGAATTGTTCAGAATTACATCTGTAGAAAATTACTCCCTACACAGACTAACTTCCACTTAAAGGAGAAGAAGGGAAAAGACGCTGGAAGTGGATAAGTTATACATTGATGAAATCATCAAACTGGGTCACGAGGCAATTTCTAACCTAGAATTCCGAAGAGAGAAGGAAATGAAGAAAACCGAGGAACAAATTGCATTGAGAGTTGGATGAAGATAAAAAAAGAATGAATAACGATTGGGAAGAACTGGAAACTATGGCCCAGGACAGAGCTAAATGAAGAATCCTGGTGTTAGGTCTATACTTCTATGTAGGTAAGTTAATGAGAACTATTTTTTGGAGTACTAATTGTAAGTTATTTTTCTTTCAAATTCCCCAGGGTGAACGAAATGAATGAAGGTCATGCAGTCGACACAATCTTGTAAACTACAACCGACAATAATGTTATAAATCTATACCCAGCTCTTAATAATACATCAAAGTGTAATGAATTTTATTAGAATTAGAATAGTTAAAATAATCTTACAGGTCGAATTGATTAGGCCAACTATAATAGGAAAAGTCAAAGGAAAAAGGCTAATACACATAAGTAGAACTCATTCTTAATGATGAATAACCACGACTAAATGAATCTTGAGAATTATAGAACATAGTATTACTAACTTAAACATGACACATAAACGTAAACGTATACGCGCTTTCCAACCATATGAATACTTAAACCATCCCATTGACTCTATTCTAGTCACAAATTAATCAGTCAGTGAATTGAAGATCGATCACAGACAGTAATACCAAACTCATGGGTCAACCATCTCATGGTTTAAATGAGTAATACTTATTATGTGCAAACGAATTCTGAATGAAATTACTCATAACATGCGTGATAAAACTTGAATTAAAAATATATTTTAGTTCTCAAACGATTTGTTATCGACTTTGTTCTTAAACTAATAGTGTTTTCGAGAGTCAAACTGTTTCATTTGGTTCTTTTCTAGGTAGCTGTGGTGTGTTGAATATACGCTGTTACTAATTATTATTTACTTTTTGAAATGTTCTTGAATGGGTGTTTGTACATGACGTGATAAAAAGAACAGTCCATTTTACTTTGTTATTTAATTGATTAAGTTACCAAACTCCTTTCTTAACGAGCTATATTGGATAGATTTACAAATATTTTAAAAGATAATCATACCAATAGTCCGAATGTTGGGAGCTGTGTAGAAAATATATTAGCATAAAATGTGAAGCTTATATACTTGTTCATATTAAACAACAGCGAACACATAAACACATGCTAAATGATATGTGTTAGACACTAATTGTGATATCCTCCTATATTTTCCTATTCAAATATCACTTTTCAAATTTGTTTACCAACTTTCTGGGTATCCGTTTTCCTTAAGTGTTTTACCCCAGGTGATTAGCTCTTTTTCAACCATATCAGTAGAACATATATAACGTATTTCATTAATGAGAGTTTTTATCAGGTTTTTTTAGTGCTGTAGGTGTACAATCTAAGCAAAAAGATATACTGTCTTGTCCAGGTACTTTATTTGCTTAATTCCCCACTTAATAATTTGTCATATCCTTTTGTTAATTCCAATGTCCCCTTCGTTTTCTCTTAGCTAGTCAAATATATATTTTAGTCTCCAAGAATGGAACGGTTGTGAGTATCGAAGATACATTGTTCATTCCTTAGTAATTGCAATTTGGATCTCGTAAACAAATAAGAAGGAATTCCTAACTCAACGCATTACAAGTTATTTGTGGAGTGATCTCAATATAGTTACTGATCACTTTACTTTAGTATGATATATTGAGTAAATCGTATCTAAAATTGACTTTAGTAGAATACCCGGTATTTGTGCCCTCGGTATTCCATACCATTTTGGCAGCTGAGTTCATGCTGATTCAATCATTACGTATAAACTTGAAAAATATATTTGCTGGTTTCTGATCTTTCAAAACATGTTCAAATCATTCTCTATCTGATTATTCAAGACATTCTGGTCAGATAGTTCACGAAATTTTAATTTGTGGTTTAATATGGTACTACTTTTGTCAATATGTTGTCCTTTACTGAGAAAAAGAAATCCTGATCCCTTGTTTTGTTTTATAATTTTGATATTTCTTCATTGAGAAGCATTTCAATAGCTTCGCTGTGCTTCTTTGTAGGAACGCTTCTGTAGTTACATTTATTGTTCGTAAACTGGTAACAAGAATCTAGAAGACTTGATTCTCTGTGTTCTGGTTTTAATCAGAATGTGTAACTAGATCCTGTGTCAGACTATATTTACACAAACAGAATGATTACAAGTATCAAAGAAATTCACTTCTAAGGATAAAATCTCTAGTCTTTCCTTGACAAATTATTGACACACATTTTCCTATTTGCAGAATATTTGGTTTTAAACGTTTGATTTTCCAGACTATTAGGCTACCAAATGAGTTGTTTTCTTGCTTTCTGCTCTGTTAATTTCATGACATGCTTCATAAATGGGGTTCTTGGATCATTCATCATTATCCATTTTATATGGTTATGCTAAACGTCGATTTCGTTGAAAACACAGGGTTTCAGTGTCTTTCTATTCCGGAACACCATTTTTTTTCGTAACGATGTACAGTATAATTTGGATAGTGACCTGATTCGATGAGGCTATTTAGAATTTATACAGCAGCTTTCGTCTTCGCGAACCTATAGCACTACGTTTACAGTTGAGTTTGTGTATGTTTAATTTTATAAATTCCCTCAATCAATTTTATTAACAGACAGTGTCATTCGAACGTTAACGCTTTTTAATTGAGCGCCTTCAACGTAAGGGGTTGTTCATGAAATATGAATTGTTTAAAAAGCCCAAAAGCATGGAAACACTAATACACAAATTAAATTACTTCTAAAACCACCCAGTTTCTACTGAGGATATTAATTGTGATTCAATATATTGATAAACGACAAAGAATGCTTACCGTAATAGGTTCCTTCATCTATTTATTAGGAAATAAATTAACACTTAATGAGCTTTCCAACTACTTCAGAATAATTGAACTAATATGCATATAACAGTTACACTGTGCATATAGATGAGACAGAACGTTTAAGAAGAAATTTAGGCTTGGTAGCCAAAAGCCCTAAATTACATTGATACAATCAAAATGACAATCTCGAAGGGAAATTCAACTTTGATTAAGTGATACCGTAAACTACTTAGATCTTGTAACTTCAACAGTCCTTTTGCCTTTATACTATTTTATGAAAATATATAAAAATTCATATAAGGGTTAAACCATCTCAATCTCAATTGAGTATTTTTAGTAAACACTGAATTTACAGTTATTCATCACTCCTCAAACAAAAGCAATTTGAATTAGCGTTTAATTTTATGTGTTTATGATCATTTAATCATCGTAGATTTGAAATGAGTCTGCTTCGTAATACCTTAATTAGACTCACTAAGTGACTCCGCATTTTCATGATGTTACGAGAAAAAGCTAATCTGTGATATGACAGGGTATTAGCCACGGAAACGAAGAGTTCTGTGAAATATAAAGTAGGAAGAATTTAATTTTGTGATGACTCAACTAAAGATATTAAATCTATGTAAAATCAGCTTACTTCCTGTATAGAATGAGCCTAAATAAAATCAATAATTAAAAATTAATGAAAATAGTAAGTATTGATGACATGAGAAAAGTTTATTTGTTTAAATAAAGGAAAAACATGAGTAAAGCAAATGTTATATCTTTATTGTTCTGACACCTTCAGTATATATTACTCTACTCAGCTAATGTTTCTCCTTAATGTCGAAATATATTTTTATGAAACTATTGATTTTAAGCGTATCTTATATGAAGTATTTGTTTCAAATTATTTTCCTGTGAGACATTACTCATAAATAGTCTATGCTGCTTTATTGTGTATTAATGTAAACTTATCAGTCGATATATAGACAAATAAATACTATTACTAATTATAATCGAAATACTCTTCCAGATACCAATGTCCGATACGGTTTTTCATTCGATATTTCCAATCTGTGCTTTTCTACAGACGCAACAGTTCATCCTAAATGTAGTACTCTGAAGTACTATAGCTATGACGATTACTTCTTTAAACACTTGTTGCATATAGGATATTTCTTCTCACTCTAGGAAATTAGAATTTGTACTCAATGACAACGATTAAAAATATGGTTTGTATCATTGAGATATGTGAAACGAAATTATGTTGTTAGTTTGTACAATCTTGTAGGTTGTACATTTTCGTAGAATTACATTACCAACGAAGAACAAACAAATGGTAAAGTTGTATATCGGCTTTTAGACAGTTGGATGTGAAATCACACGCTAAGGAATAGATATCTGTAAATTGTTCAGAAACTCTAACTACTCACAAAATCATTTCAAGCCTTAAAGTCGAAATGCGTGTCAAGTAATGAACTTGGAATCTAATGACTCAGTGATATGCTGAATGAAAAACCTCCTGATCGAAGATTATAACACAGAGACATTTTATTTGAGTTATTAATAGTTTTCTTGTAATACAAAACGTAATAGTGATGGAAAATTATCTCGGTAAAGATTATCTAATCCACTGTTCACTAGAAAAAATGATATGCTGTCATTTCAAAAGACAAAAAAAGTTTTGGCCAAGACTGAAATTCTCTCGTACTTTCTATAGAAAAATTAAAAATTTGGAAGCATTTTGGTGGTTGACAAAATTTCCTGGAACAAGCAGTTCTTTTTTGGTGGTGTTTTGTTCTCTGAGCTGGATGGTTTGGTCGTGGAGCTTTCATCGTTCTTCTGAACGACATCATCAGCACAAACTTCAGATAGAAGTGAAGTGTTCGAATTTCTCCATATGTGTTTCACAGCTTGTTCTGTGCACCTCGATGTTGATTGGTTCTTGTTGACCTTAAATTTATCATTGTTTACTTCTTTGTTTTGGTTGTGTCTCCCATTGGTTTGATTTTTGTTCCTATATTTATGCATGATTTTCCTGATTGGTTGATAAATTGGATTGATTTCAATATGTTTGTTGATTGCTGATTGACCTGAGTGCCAAGCTTCTAAAAATTCTCTGGTGTTTTTGGAGTTTCCTCTGTCTAAGATTTCTACATTTTCCCAATCGAATGAATGTCCGTAGTTATCCACGTGTATTGATATAAGTGAAGAGATATCATGGCGTTTGACTGCTAATTGATGTTCATGTAGGCGTAGGTGGAGGGGGCGTCCTCTTTGTCCGATGTAGTGTTTGTCGCAGTTGGTACAATTTATTTTGTAGATGATGTTTGATTTGTTTTCCTTTGTTATTTCATCTTTTGGTTTGCATAGGATTGATTGTAATGATTTTGTTGGTTTGTGTGCCACACCTATCCGGAAGGTTTTCAGCAGTCTCGTTGTGGTTTCTGATATTCCTTGTATGTACGGTAGGGTGATCCTTTTGTTGATGTTTGTGCTTGATTTGGGTTCTGATGCTGTGTGCCGTTGGTGCTTTTTGATGAAGTTGATTGGGTAGCCGTTCTTTTGAAATATGTCCTTCAGGTATCTCTCTTCATTTTTTCGTGCTGCCAGTGTGTTGTAGTGTGTCCTCGCCCTCTTGAACAATGTGTGTACGCAGTTGATTTTGTGAGCTCTTGGGTTGTTGCTGTTGTAATTGAGGATTTGATCTGTATGGGTCGGTTTCCTATATACTTGAGCAGTTCTACACAAAATACATCAAGGATTGGCATAATCTATCCAGTCGCTCATAAGTTATTTATTACGTTGTACAAATAAATGCATATGATCAGCATGCAATAATAGACTCCGTTAGTAATTTTAAGACTAATGTAACATATAAGCAAACTACTAGTAAAGTGTTGCCAGATAAGTCACAACCACGTTGAATTATCAGACTACATTGGCTGATAAATATTCCAATATCACAAAGTGTTCATGAAAATCACGTTCCCTAAAACCCTCGAAATCGCGTACTGAAAACATCTCACTGACAATTATAAAACTGTCAACATTGATTAGAAAGTAGGCACATCAGAGTTTCGAAAACTTTTCCTCAAACATACTTATGAAATCTTTCCCTGAAAGTAGAAAAAAAGTATAATGAAATTAGCCGAGATATTTCATGTCTAACTGTAAAAATAGTTATAATCATAGTTCATTCAATTAAAGTACGGTAAATGACGCTAAGTGAACTTTATAAACTCACCATTGTAACCTTATAATTTGAAAAGAAAAACGAATAAACTTTAAATAAATGTAATGAAAATTCTCATTCTCACATTTTCTGTGATAACATTATTTTAGGTGAATTGAAACCAGCTAAATTATAGGGAATATCGAACGAATTTTGTCATCAACCATACAAGTGAAATGAAAAGAATACCGAATATATTTACCATTCCAAAGAAGGTACCAACCTTAAACTTATAACTGTCAAATGACACTACCAAGAAAACGATAACTCGAAGGATGAGAAATGGGATGCGGAAAATGCTTACTATAATCAAACGAAATAGTGTTTTCTGCAATCTCTCTGTAATGGGAATCACCAATATAAACGGACTGGTTGAATCTGCTTCACTCATTCATATTCATCAAAGTGGCAGTAGTATAAAGCGTACATATTCGCAACTCCCTCATTGTATTGTGGAGCACCATTCACGGTCATCCAAAGAAAAAGAGCTGAGAGTGATTAGGAGTATAGAATATCAAGTTGACGTGAATAAGGTTTTAAAGTATGCCCACTATATTCTATCAATTTAACCTCGTGGTGTACGACTTCATATTTTAAAATTGCTGAAGCTATGCAAATCGATATTCATTGACCTATCTTTTTCATTAGCAGAAAAATTGTGCAATCACTGTCTACCTAACAGGCGTAAGTAAGTAAATAACTCTCCCTACCTAAGCTATCGGTATAGAAGTGAGTTTTATATCTGATGACTGAATATTATTTCATTGTCACTGTAACGTGACATAATTATTGTGTTACGCAACTACACGAAATGTATCATTTCATAGTTACAAATCGTATATACACATTTATATGTAGGTGTTTAAGTGTGGTGTCATGATGAAAAAGTGAAAAGAAATATCTTCACTCTGTTCGTTCTTCTTACCAAATATGTAATTTTGTTTAACTTCTTCAAATTACTGAAATCTGTACATCCAATTTATTTTATTGGTCAATTCGTCCTGATTACTATGTTGAATAAATAAAGTACACTGTTCATCAAACGATGCAGATTTTCTGGTTCATTCAATGTATTTTCAGCATAAAAGTGAGATTTAGATTTTTATGTTATTTGATAAACTGACTGGAGAACTGTTTTCAGAGGATGATGCTTTGTGTATTTTAACTACTTTTAATACTGTTATTTAGTGGTGGTAAGTAACTGACAATAAATGAATGAGTATTCCATACGACACTCAAATGAACTCACCAACACAAAGATTAGCTAATAGAAATTAAACGTTAATGCCAGTGAACTTCATTGTTATATGGTTCATTAATTTATATTCAGTTAAATCATTATGAATAAACAAGAAAAACACGTCGAACCAGTAATAATTACTTACCACCGTCATCTGTTATTGAAAAAGTAAAATAATTTTTACTGGACATTGTTCAATAGAAGTAACCAAAGACTATTTAAAATACTGATATTGTAGTACACTATATTACGGTATAAAACCTTGATCACCTGGATAGAGTGGTCCTAAGAAGTAAATGTACGGTCAAGATATTTCATTAACAGTACAAGTTATTGAAATAGGATTCTCTAATATAACTATAAGTGTACTCAGATTGCTGCGAGCAAATTGTCTTGAATTTTATTAGTACGAGGATTTGTGGAGATTGTAGTATTTTCATGGTTCGAATCACGAGTCACAATGGATCGATTGAAGTTAGACACTAACGCCATTGGATGACGGTTCAGTGAACTAGAGTTTGTGCGTTAGCGCGTGAAATCAATGGGTTCGATTGTAGTGGCTGTGCTTCGTTAATTAATCACCCTCGAACCGTTATCGTATAATCTTCAACGATGTTTGAAATCAAAAGGCAAAAAGAAGCAGCTACTACAGTTTATTTAGTAGATAATTCGGACCAGACAGCAGAGAGGCAAAATGAATGAGCAAGCGAACTACGATTGTAGCAGTAGTAGTACTAGTAGTAGTGAATGGGTGCAAATGTACACATATATATATATGTATAGGAAAATGGATGAGTTAGCGAATAGATTGAGCAGTTAATAATGAAGCTAGCAGAATGAATACATGCGTAGGCGCTAAACAATGTTCAAGCATATGTATTTCATACAAGCATAATAATAAAGATAGTACAACAAGTTGTTATATCATAGATGACTTTGTCCATTAAATAGGTCAACAAAAGACCTTGATTGAACTAAACTCAATTGCACGTGAGTCACTATACGATTCCTGCTTGTGTGATGGTTGTTGCACACTGCTGAGGAGTAACGAACTAGGAACAAACGGCCGTTTAATGCTTCCAAGTTATAAATAGTGGTCTGACATTGATCGACTCTTGATTTTAACTGTGGAGATCCCTTAAAGTTCTTATGCTGAACTCCAATATTGTTCAGAGACAAGCCTCTTGTGGTTTTGCACATCTTGTACATTAAACAAAAGGAGGGGTCCCTGTTCATCTTATAATTATTAGAACACCGGTATTGAGGAAACGTTAATGAAAATCGCTCATGAATGCCATTGGTCACAATAACTGTAGCAAATGCATTAAATCTGGATATCATGTAAAACATTGAATATCGAGTTAGAATCATATTTGCAAAGGACAGGAAGCAAATACATTTGAGTTAATTGTTTGGATTGACGAAACTATTAATAGTTATCTTCTGACCAGTTCAAAATTTTAATAACTGTTCTGCTTTGTACAAACCTTCAGATTAGTAACTAACACGGTTTATTTGTTGTAAAAGTTAATTTTAATTGTACTCTGAAACTGAGGTTAACTATTGGAGCATGAGTAAATTCATCATATTATCTTGGCGGTTCACTGTCTTCCCATTATTGATAAATTTTTACTATGGCTATTTGAAAAAAGCCGTGGGACGGTTTGCTGGAAAAAACGACAAGAACAACCACAAGAACGACTGTTTTGAAAGGGCACGAGTATGGTGTGTGACACTGATGTCAACAGATACCAGTAGTATATATCATCAACCGAAAGTGGAATGCCTGGCGGCAGAAGGTTGAGAAAATCGAAGAGAAGAGAACGAGAACAGAGGGTGATTGGTATGGAAACGAAGGATAAACAAAGCTTGAGACATTTGATGGATATTTTGCAAATTAAGTATTTACTGTATGATTCTCAGACTTTAACAAGATATTCTGTAAAGTTTTGAAATATATTTGGTTGTCCCCACTTGCGTCGTCGTCCACTACAGTACAAATACATTCTAATCTTCAAAACACTTTTTTGATAAAAAGTAGTTTAGTTTTAAAAACACGAGTGTCAGGTTATTTCAAGACACCGTTCTGGAGATTTATCAATTTTACATTGTCCTTGAGTGGGTTATTACAGCGGATAGGGAAGAAATATTTACACTGATGCTAACCTTAATGAAATATATTCTTAAGAAAACCTATATCATGAAGGTCACTACATGTTGTTCTTGTAAAAAACGACAAAACCCTTTTTTTGAACTTTGTGCCTCGATATATGACTATACTGCTTTTTATCTTAAAAATTATAAACTTTATACTTAAAAAAGAAACATACCGCAACATCTGAACTCTGTGAAGTGTGAATTGTGAAGATTAATCGTCATTTAAAACGCTCACATTTATATTGGAAAATATTTCACTTATACAGTTTATTAACAATAGGTGAAATTTCGATAGCAGTGGAGTTCAAAATACTTCTTTCATCATGCTTCCGATTCGTTAGCTCGGTTTTCATGCATATCATAGTTAGTGTATTTATTGGATTTGAATTCATCACGTATCGCTTCGAACGACAACGCGTTATCAACAAAAATTATGTGATGCGGAGATATCCATCAGATAAGCATCAAAAAGTACGTGTCCCGTGTCTTTGATTCTAGAAATTGCAACATAACATCTATTTAACGTAAACGTGTATCATAATGATGATATAGAGTCAGCCGCAGCGGATGCACACAAACCAAATAAGACCTAGGACATCTCTGTAAAAATATCACAGATGAAGTGATTCAAAACTTTACGAGTAAAATTAAAATATATTTATCTGTTAAGTGCAAACAAAAATGAGATTAACGACAACAATGAGATTTCATATGATTACTTACTTTCATGACTAACTGGAATGTTTCAAATTAAGGCGTTCATCGAGGTTTGTTAAATAAGTGTATTATCATTTTACAAAACATAAGATGAATATAACAAAACACTTCTCAGCTACATATGCTATCAGCTTTTCTATCGTATTAAATATATTTGTTGCTACACTGATATTTTTTTCCTCATTGTTACACGTGTTCTTTGTAGAACAGGTAGTTCCTTTATTTGCTGATATCAAACACCCATGTTAATAAACACAGTGCATGAACGTGTAGACAAATACAATCCTTCATCTCATTAGGTTACTGATAGATTACGTATAATTCTAGTTGTGTTCAGATAAGTAATTGATTAGATGCAACCTCAGATGGATAAGATCTGCTCTAAACTTGTGTTTCAACTTACTATTACATCTGAGATCTGTTGCAAACAAAAGTAGCATTAACATAAAAAACATAAGTTTGATGCATTCACAAAAACATAAGTCAGTTAAAATTCGACAGAAACTTAGAATAGCTACTTTTGTAGTGAACGAGAACTGAAGTGGGGACGACCAATCTATTTTTTAATAAAAAATTACAGAGCTCTAAAGTAAAATGTAAAAACCATACGATAAATACTTCATTCGTAAAACCTCCCATTAATTATCTCGAACTTCGTTGTTCCTTCACCGAATTTATAATTACGCTCTGTTTACATTCCCGTTTTTCAAGTCGATCTTCCCAACCTTCTGCTGCCAGGCACTCCACTTCTGGTTGGTATTACATACTTCTCATGTCTGTCGATATAAGCGGCATAAACCATATTATGAACAACTATATGACAATATCAGTGTTCGAAAAGCCAGAATGAAGCGACATCAACTAAACGAATTCAGAAATGTTTTTCAGAATAACAACATAAACCGTTCTTGTGTAGATAAGCTGTATAAGCCAGTCACTAATCCCAATTTTACCACGAAACAAGCTGAATTATTAAGTGGATTACAGTATGCATTAATGTGAAGAAACTTAATAAACGACCCTCTTAATCTCCGATTTTCCCGTTAATAATTTCCATTTTCAACTCATCTAAATTCTGTTCCATATTCGGTGAACAACAGTTGGATGTTGGACATGGTGAAATATATATACACTGAACTGCATATTCATTCCTTTTTGTTTGCTTAATAATCTAATGTTAAGAATTAATTGTTCAGTTTCAAACTAATTAGTATCTTCTTAGGAACTAAATGATTAAGTCGATAAAACCGAACTTTTGTAATCACAGTGGCAGAAATTAAGAATATTTCTTAGTCTGTGAAAAAGTGACAGTAACGACGTTTCTGTTCTTTGCTTTGACTATCGTTAAATTAACTTTAGTTTAATCAGATTGAAAAATAATATAATGACAGATATTTACAAATCAAGCACGAACTATGACTTACAAAACACTGAGTTAAATGAAACAGATATGTATAGTTAAATTAGGTACAACAATAGAATGTTTGGTAATACTGAAATACATGGAACTAAAATAAATACTGCAGTAACAAATGGAATAATTATTCAACAAAAACAACTGAAAGAATTCTTAAATTGTTTCTAGTTTATTCGAAGTAAATTGAAGCGTTTATGTTTAGATCAGTAGTAAACACTAACTATCTTTTTATTTACACCATGCATCATGGTGAAATATGTTAAATGTATGCAGCCTACATCAGTGTAAAGTTAATAAAGTATATGTCTTCCAGGACTACGATAAATCTCTCAGAGTTTCTCTATTTCATGACAACTGAGATCTTTTTTCGATATAGGAAAATAGTGAATTGTCAAGGTTCAAAGTAACTGTCATTTACGCACGAATATTCTGGGGAAAACATGTGAAACTATATAATCTCTTTTGTAATCGATTAACAAATTCGTTCTTTTTTAAAACTAGAGATTAGTTATACCATAGTTGTTTTAAAGTATTATGGAAACGCACTTGAATTAACTTAAAAGATTAGTTTGATCACATTGTGACAATTGGTGCATACGATTAGAAAACATAAATCATAACTTACAATTACTAAAGTCTAATTTAAGAAAGTGTTTGGGAAAATTCATCCATTTGAATGTTTATCAGGTTCTATCTTTAATAAAAATATCTGACGATAACTAAAGTCCTTCAGAAATAAAGAAAAATTACCTAGTTCCTTACCTTGTAGGGTTAGGTAAACAGTCTTCGAAGATACGATAGACTAGCATAAACTCCAACTTCATTCGGTACTCATCAAAATGTTTCTTCATCTACGTTTATTAGGGTATCCATGAGACCTTGTCTACAATCTGTAAGATCTCATGAAGTTTTCAGAAAACATTCTTCATGAATAATACTTCAGAAGTTTTGAATAAAATCGACAGACGGCATCTCTGAGAAAGATTTTCATCTTATTTTCAGTCATCCTAACACTCTTCAATGTACCAAAGATGAATGCCCGTATCAGGCGGAATGACCATGTTTTTACATGTTTAGTTGCTCTTATCTAATAGATTACATTACTCACACACATGTAACCACTTTCCAGAAGCATTTTCAAGTAATCTATATTTCAGTATTTAGACATCTCGTTAACCCACATCATCTTACATCATCAGATAAATAATTTAAAATTATATGTACTTTCAAATGATTCGGTTCCAAAGATCACATTAATTACTTGATTGGATTCAGGATCTGTTTATGATTTATTGAACATTAATGGAAGCTTCACAGAATGAAATCATGAGTCAATTGAAGTTAGACCACCACGGAAAACCTGGAAGCACTGGACGGCCGTTTCGTCCTAGTATGGGACTCAGCAGTGTGAATCCACGATCCCGCACGCAGCGGGATTCGAACCAAAGACCCACTGGTTTCGCGCGCGAGCACTTAACCACTAGACCACTGAGCTGACATCCACTGGCGTTAATGTCTAACTTCAACCAATTCACGAAGTTGCACCACCGTACACCATTGTCTTCAGTGAGTTACTGTCTCACAGCAGACCTGCTTGAACTCCACTGGTCACAGCTTCTCACTAGAACTCCAGGAATACCTCTGGGTGCGGGATCGTGGATTCGCACTGCTTAGGAGTCCCATACTAGGACGAAATGGCTGTCCAATGCTTCCAGGTTTTTCCATGGTGGTCTAGCTTCAATTGACTCATGATTTCATTCTGTGAAATTTCTAAAATCTCCACAAATCCCTTCTGATTAATGGAAGCGATTATAACTACTTCAACAGTACCAGATAATCAGTGTTCTGATTTGCACAATGAATCCGAGTAAAAAGGCAAGTTTTACAATATCCATTGGTTACGTTAAAATGAATTCATTTCAGTTTAGCTTAATGTCGTTCATTATTTTATTTTGATCATAGTAAATTTTTACCCACACAATTTAGGAAACATAATCTTTCCGATTCATTTATCGAATAAATACAAGCAGTGATATTTAGATAAGAATTACACTATTACATTATTTAGGAAGATAGAAATATACTTTACCTAACGTTGATACATTTGTATGGAATTTTTGTCATAAAAAGGATATATGTTTGTTTGTTATAAAAAAAGTTCTGGGTTCAAATCTCGCGAGGCAGAATCATGAATGCGCACTGCTGAGGAGTCCCACAATATAACGAAACAGCTGTCTAGTGCTTCCAGGTTTTCCATGGCGGTCTAGATTCAACTGACTCATGATGTCAACTATTAAAACTACTATAATGCCCAAAACAAATCCTTTCTGAAAAAAAATAGTTGATCGTTAACTGTATTTTCGATTGATTTATGTCCAAATGTTACTGAATTTAAATAATTAAACCGAAGTAGCTACAAAAACAGAAAATGGTTAACTTACCCCATGGATAATCTGTTTAATGAAAAGAGTTCAGCTAAAGATGTTTTACGCCCCGCCACAAAATCTTACTGATATTTGTGAAACATAAACAATGTTGTGATGACAAATCATAAAATCATTTAGTTATTCAACACATACTGAATAGATTTCTCGATTCGCTTCCAATTAAATCGACACAACTTAGTGGTAAGAAATGAATGTTACTCTGATTCTCATCATGCTGCAAGCTAAATCATGCAAATGTTTACAATGTATAACAGCATGATTGAAATGAATTTTCCACCGTCTAATATATCAATGATTCTGTTAAATACTCTCCGTTTTTGATTCATCCACATACTGTTCCTTATTCGGTGAGCAACAAACTGATGTTACACGTGATGCAGTGTACTGGATAAATAATCTGTGTGTTAAAATCGTGGATAAAACTCAATAAGTTATCATTTGAAAACAACACAACAAAGTCTGCTCTATGAAGAGAAATGAATCTGTATACTTGTACATTTTGCTAGCTATCACATATGGTTGTCTATTTCGGATCTACAGATGGGTGAACATAACGGTTTATTTGTCCAAATAATATCCTTTTATCCTAAAGTCAAGTGATTTCACGTAGCTCATAGCTTTGTATTTCCAGATACTTCTAAGCAAATCACAAATGAATAACTTACTCCATGGTAATCCTGAATAACAGAAATGTATTTAGTTTAGTTTTGTTATATAATGACCGGAACAAATCAGTCACTTTTCCCAGTCACTTATCATGAAACAAGCTGAATAACTCAATGGATTACAATGTGCAATAATGTGAAAAAGTCAAGAATCCACCTTCTTAAACTACAATTATCCTGTTAAGAATTTCCATTTTCAACTCACTCAAATTGTGTTCCGTATTCGGTGAACAACATGGATGTTGGACGTGGTGAAATCTTTATACAATTGAACTGGATATTCATTCCCTGTTGTTCACTTCATATACCAATGCTAATAATTAATTATTCAGATTTGAACTAATTAATGTTTTTGAAAGAACAAAATAGTTCATTGATGGTATATAAATCTATTGAATCACGTATGGAGATTTTATAAACAACCGCTAGTTTATCAAATATTGCACAATCAATATAACATATCTGTTCACTATCCTTACGAAATCTTAAGATTAAAATAACTAGACAGTCTCAATATATGGTAGTGATAAATATTCTAAATTAAAACCCAATAAATAACTTACTAGTTTGACCTATTAACATAGAAATTGTTCGGTACGTTCGTTAACAAGAAACGTTTAAATCATTTCACCATTTAGCATGAATGAACAACAACATTGTACATAAAACAACTAGACATTTGCTTGAATATTCAACACCTCAATATTATTTACCATAAACTGGAAAAGTTTATTAGTTGTTTTTAATTTATTCAAAAGAAATTGAAGGGCTGCAGTTTGAATCAGTGGTACAATCTTGTTACTGTCCGGCGAGACTATAATTTATGGACGAACTAATCACGTATAAGATAACGGGTCTCGGATTTTGGCGCAAAATTCACTCACCCATTTGGATAAATAGGGTTTTGGCATTATAGCTGATGTCAGTTTTTGATGAAAATCATAAATCTAATTCCCAACCCTAACCTCCAACTGTAATTCATAATTCTAATTCCTCACATAAGTTTTTAACACTCATTTGGCCCTTGTTGTGAAGTGAACAATCACACGGTTAATCTAGCGTCGCTCAAAGGTCGTCCATAAATTATGGTCCCACTAATAAGCCTTATTAAACTGCAATGATTCTGTTAAGCTTTTGTCGTTCCAATTTGGTTGATACTGTTCATTTGTCAATAAACCAAAAGTAACGTGTTGAACGTAATGGGTCAAATTATATATGCCATAATGAGGATGTAATACATATGATTCAATTTTTAATTAGACTCAAACAAATAAATATAAATGTATTCAGAAACATATTTTTCAGAACTAACAGATAATTCAGTATTCATAGACGCTTAGCTATATAGTCTTAGTTATTCATTAGCCTGTTTAAGGTCAAAACTGGTCATTTCCATTAAATTTAATTTACCGACTATAATTAAAGTGTTTTAATGTCAACAAAACAGATAAGGTCGATAACATTCAGATGAACTCTAGAAATAAAATACATGGGATATGACTTACCTCCTCCAGTATCTGTTTTTTTTAAGATAATCATTTAGAACGTCGTCACTTATTTTTGTAAATTTTGACGTTAAACAAGGAAAACCAGAAAACTATCACAATAAACAATGAAATGACCCAATCAAAATTCAAAACCCCATAGTAATGTGCATAACCTTGATCATTTCAAAATTCGACACAAGTTGAAGCACAATCATTATAGTTAAGGGCACTAACTTATCACTTTCAGTTTGCACGGTCTAACATTGCGAAATAAGAAATTTCCGGAAGTGTAGTATTGTGAAAATAAAGAGAGAATTCACCCCCTAAAACTATAATAATACTACTGAGATATCGCTATTTTCAATTCACCTGAATTTCTTCAATATTCAATAAACAATAAATGTATGGATTACCTCCTTAATGTTCACCTAATTGTCCTTTCGTAAACCGGTTTTATGTTCATTTATAAAATCAAGTTAAATATTATGTATTACTGCATATCTACAAATGAATCACGTATTATTGACTTACTGGTACCGGCATCTGATAAAACCAAAATATTGGGTTTTATTGATTACCAACGAGTTTTTGAATATAACTTGTACTAAGGAAACATGATGGTATCAAGACAAAAATTTGTTGTCAATTCACTGTTTCCACGTACTTTGTAAATCCTATACGATTGTGTAGAATGTAATCATTTTCAAACTAAAACTAAACCATGGTTTCTAACATAATTAATGGATTTGTAATATTATGAGGTCAAAATTATCAGCTCTATGAAACATTTCAAAACCTTTTACAGTTCACTACCTTCAAATAAAGAAAGTATATCTAACTATGATTTGAACATCACTAAGCCAGAAAAACTAATCTTACTTTTGTAAAATTATAACAATATAAGCAAATGTATTGTAGGGACTATGAGGATCCGATTCTTTTGGATTGTGATTATGCATAATTCTTATGATATAAACTATTTCAACTATTTTAAATGTTTTTTTAAACAAAGATGTATGGTAGCTAGCAGTGGAATCCAGGATGCGCGTTTCGTCCTATTTGGGACTTGTCAGTTGGATGTACCTTTATTCAAATAGGACAAAACGCACATATGCACATATGCCAAGTGAGTCTTAAATAACAATGGGAACACAAGTAAAATAACACTAAATGAATTTTATTCAAATGTTTATATTAAAAATGAATAGAAAGTTTAATGTTCTATAAATATAGTACACTTATATTAATAACATTTGATTAACTTACAAATAGGATCTGTAACAATTAGATGGATCACACAGAATACAACTAAACAATCTGTAGTAAATAATTTCATATTGTTATTTTGATGATTTAGTAAGCAGATTATTCTTTCATATGTTTATGCTTAATATATGATAGAAAATATGACATTCATGTGACAATTAAGTGTATAGTTTTATTAATCATAAGTGATTTATGTTTATTACTATAATAACTTCATGGCTCTTATCCAATACACATTCATGTTCATGTGAATGTTTATCTACTCTGCTGTCAGGAAACACTTCTATTCGACATTTAACGAGTATATTCCACGTTCATTTTGTAAAATGGGGTTTTGTTCTCTGAGCTAGATGGTTTGGTCGTGAAGCTTTTATCGTTCTTCTAAAAGACATCATCAGCACAAAATTCAGATAGAAGTGAAGTGTTTGAATTTCTTCATGTGCGTTTCACAGCTTGTTCTGTACACCTCGATGTTGATTGGTTGTCATTGATCTTAAATTTGTGATTGTTTACTTCTTTGTTTTGGTTTTGTCTCCCATTGGTTTGATTTTTGTTCAGATATTTGTGCATGATTTTACTGATTGGTTGATAAATTGGGAAATAAATTGGAAAATCATTTTCAGTTATAGTCAGTCAGCAGAAAACCTCTTTAAGCGAATTCGTATGGTTCATCTTGAATTTAAGGCGTTAAACATTTTGAAATACAAACAAAATCCTTGCTGAATAACGCACAAACCGCCACAATAGTGCGTACGCAGCATTATTGAAATGTATGGTATTTGACAAGAACTCGATAATGTCAACAAGTACGTACTCGAATAATTCGTAATTCGAATGTGTAATGTTGAGTTCATTATGTAAATATTTCTGTTTGAAAAGCAGACAAATATGTTTATTCCAATGGAAATATACACAACATACGTGGATGGTATAACGTCTGATCTTACTGATTGGTAAAACTCAATAATTAAGTGATTCATAATCTATATAAAATTTTACACTTTCGAATGAAATCACGATCTATGTCAGTTGAACTGTGATCATTCAGACATATTTCTATTATAATTCATCAATGAGATGGTTGTCAAGTATAAACACAAACAGGTTACTTGTACTTCTCATTACTTTCTGTAGATCAACTAAACTCATGGCGTTGTTGTCTGATGAAACTCTTTATTTTTTAGATAGCCTGAAGATCAACTAAACATGAAATATTGTTTTGAAAATAATGAGGAGGTGTTTGAAAAGCTTTGTAAACTTCCAGAGGTTCAAGTCTGATTGATAAGTTTTTTGACGTTTGCTCAGATATCTCACACGATTCATTGGGAAACATGAGAAGTAAATGCTTCTTTTTCAAGTTCATTTGCTACTGGATTGAACATATACTACAAATTCACCTGACATGTCAAACTTATACTATCGCTAATCCAAAGTGAATTCACTGTTTATATTTCGATTTAGAATGTAGATCAATTTATTATCATTAACTCACCGTTGCATGTGATCTCTATTTTAAAATGTTAAAGTACATTTAGATGTATGTAATTCTATCAATTCGTCTTAACGTGTTTCTGTCGATGAAGTGGTATGACCTCAGTTTCTTCTTCATAGTGCCATACATAAACATCTTTTAGAGAGTGTGTCACTAGTCAAGAGACTGGTAGTGGAAGTTAAAAATAATTTATGACGAAGAATTTAAATAACACCGAAAAGTAGAGAATAGCTTTTTGCATAACCTGTCATCTCTCACAAAGAATACTTGTTGAACATGCAAACGACCTCACTGTATGTATGATGGTTTCTTCCTATTTATATCCCATCGATATGACTGAGATCTTGTCTCGGATTGAACGGCGGTCTGTTGTTAATCCTTGTAAACGTCAAACTGTTAAATTTGACCTGAGACATGAATTGCACTGTTATCGAATGATGTTAACCGTCTGACCTACTACATAAAGAGGCTGTACACTTTCGGCACTAGTCGACATTTAATCCAACGATTTGCCAATTCTTTCAGATCACCTATTATTCTCTACTGTTCTCCATTAATCTTTCCCATGCTTTCGAGAAGATACTTCACTGTATTGAAGAGAGTGCTGAAGGCAGTTAGTAGGGTGTGTGGTGAATCTCTCATGGTCATTATTAGTACATCTGTGGAAATACATCTAAAATCTCACACATTAATGACAGGTGTTACCTGATCAGATATTAAACATCAATTTCATTTGTCACTTTCTCCTTGTATATCTTCTGGTAGAACGAGACGGCAATACATAGAAATCCATGCACACAAGCAAAATTATAAAATCCAAATATTACTGCATCTAGCAGACATACTACGTGACAAACAGGTTGCCAGATCTGACGTAGTCGAAAACATATATTCTAAACATGTTTCTAATTCAAATGTTGTACAGATTCAAATCTTCCTTAAGAAGAAACATTTTGTTTATTCTATCCAGATAGTTTATCTACTAAATTTAGGTATGTATGTGGTTATTAGTTTCTCTCACTCTGTTCTCTCTTAGTAAAAGAAACTTGCTGAAATACTTTGTGCTCAGGAGTCTACATTATGCCAAAAACAAAATATTGAATAAAGTCATTAATAATATGATAAACATTTTTAACGTGGCACACGCTGCGTTTGTGTATGTGAAAGAAGCAAACGTTAGATTACTAAAATAACGAATGATTGATATATGAGAACACGTTTACGGATCAATTTTAAAAATTGGGTCTTATCTAGAACACTGATGAAATGACTCACCCCAACCATCACCTGTTAATGAAAATGCAATGAATTGTATGAGTCCGATCAGTACTTTTACAAAAGGGCTAGTGCAGAGACGGATGAATTCTTTATTTCACACTGACCAGTACTTCCTACCAATTGCAGCCTACGATCATTCCCAAATTCAATAAGATTGCCAAATCTTATTAAACTGAATGTTACGAGTTTAATGAAATAATTTCTATCTAATGGTGCATTGAAATCACCAATTAGACTAATTTCATGTTTTTGATTTATTTAATAATTATCACACTATTACATACTGTCATGATTTCGATATTAGTCCTCTTGATCATTTCATTACCTAAGATTATGTGGAAATACTATTCTCATCATCTGCATATATATATACAAATATATGTGAAGGAATAACCATGTAAGAACATATTAGTTACGTCTCTTGAAAACAAATGCGATATATATTAGTTAGATTTTCTCCGGCATTGAACATTGTAATCGGGTGTAATACCGAAATTCGAAGAGACGTGATAATTCGGACAAACTACAGATCACATCGTCGTATTCGTTGGTTGAAATTGAAAGTGGTTATTCTGTCATTCCAAAAATTTATCACTAGTCTGTGTTGATTTGCTACATTATTGACTAAACTGAATCCGCAGATTATCCAACACATAATATTGTGTAATGTGGGAAAGATGAATGCAGTAATATCCGTTTCACCTATTCTGGGTCTGATCAACTCTTTATGTCTAAATGAACTTTTGTCATGCTGGCACACATCATAACCTCGAATAATCATTTTACTGTCGAAATCTTACCAACGAGGTGATTGAAACATTTACAAATTAAATTAAATTGTATAAACACTTCACATTATCAATAACTATGAAGGACGATTGTTACAATCGAAAGCTAGTGGTTGGCAGTTTTCGCTGTTATGAAATGTTTAATCACTGTCTCAGCTAATCCTTGATCAAAGCTGTGGCTTTTGATTTTCTATGCTTGAGATTTTAGTGTGGTGTTAAGTCGCGACCGACTATGATCACCACTACAGGAAGACTATGTGCCAGTTAACCGATGAGATCCCCCGTAGGTCTAATATCAGAAGGCAGTTGATGGTTGTAGTTGAAATGTATTTGTTGGCGATCTCGTGGTACTTAAGGAATTCCCAGATCGTACCAGGTTACATGTGTGATTACTGAGCGTAACCGAGTTCGTGCGAAGTCACAATCAACGGAAGAATGTATGTATATTTCGGTATAGTTAAACAAACAAGTACAGTAAAACAATCCCTGGTAAAATTGGTTATAATAATAATTGTTTCCATTACACCAGTTGCGTTCTCTTGATAAAAGTAGGTCACCACAAGATCATGTGCGTTATAAAATCCGCACATGTTTTCAGTAAATCAGTCTTTTCTCGGCAAAATGTAGAGATTAAACTGATCGTTTTAATTATTAGGTTATTATTCTCACAATAATCACTCATAAACTCACAGTTTGAAAATGCCACAAGAAGTTGTATTATGCTGAAGAGTGCCAAACTGACTCCACCAAATGACTTCATGCTGCAGTGTCGATGACTCCTAATCTCTTCGTTATATTATTTATATACCTTGTGTTCGGTAAGATGAATTTAACAGGACATATGATATCCATGTGACTGGTACTTATATCATTTTAATCAGATTTGTGAGTTCGTGCTTTTTCGAACGACTAATTATCAGCTTTCATCGAAGACTTCACGAGTAAAACGCATGTTTTGTAGAAAGAAGTGCATAGCTGTTATAATTAAAATGATTTCACTTTTTTGGTTCACCACGCTTTTCTAGTCTACTTCAGTGTAATAATCACAATCCATATTTTCAAAGGGAACATCACTTTCAAAAGACAAATCTACTTTATAAACTTGTTATAAATAGAAATAGATTGTAGCTAGCAGTGCTGATTGGCAGAGAACTATTTCCACGAAACTCTAGGCTTGATAACAATGCAATGCCATACACATATCTTTACTGCACTGTTTGACACATTACAACCAAAATATTTAGTCATTTATCATAACAGTTACAATAAAATGGCTACTTAGTTTGAAGGGTGTTTAAATATGAATTTTCTCTTGCTCATTCAGTCTAAATATTATTCAGAACCTTATCTACAGTTTAAACTAAGGAAGTATGCTTCCACTGTAATATTAATAATGTAACTATTCGGATTGCTGAAAGATTTTCTGTACATGTGAATCTTAAACAGACCTATCGTTTTATAGTTACTATACCCTTATCATAACGAAAAATCATCCGCTAACATGTTGTGAGTCGTTTGAAACTTTAACACTTTCATAAGGTCAAGTAATTTTATAAGGAATAATCATTTTGCTCCCTATAAAAGCGTCAAGTTCATTGAGCGAATACTCCAAATGCGTTGACATTATCAAGATGTTTCAGGCCAACTCTTAACCAACCAACCTATGTTGTTAGATAAGTTTTCTTCTAGAATTGACTTGCATAGAAATTTCGTTTGGATCAATTTATCGAATAGTAACATATCAATTTGATTTCCTTAGCCTCAAGTAGAATTACAAACTTGTTCGATGTTTGGCTT